ATGTCCCGCACTCTTTCCCAGCGCATCATCTTGTTGGGGTATTACTGGCCAACAATTGTCCAGGATTGCGAGAGGTACGTCCAGAAGTGCAGAACGTGCCAAGTGTTCTACAAGTACCCCGGTAGGCCGGCGACCTACTATCACCCCGTATCAAACGTCATCCCTTTCGCTAGATTCGGGGTGGATATCATTGGGGCATTCCCAATCGCCCAAGGAAGGAAGAAATTTGTAATCGTGGCCATCGATTACTTCACCAAATGGATCGAAGCCGAGGCGTTGGCCAATATCACCACGCAGCAATGCAAGAAGTTCATTTGGAAGAACATCATCACGAGGTTTGGGGCTCCCATGAACCTAATTACCGAAAACGGTCCACAATTCCGAAATCCAAGATTCACCGAATACTTGGAGGGCTTCGGAATCAAGCACAATCGCTCTTCGGTGGCGTACCCCCAAGGAAATGGCCAAGTTGAAAACGCCAACCGAACAATTGTGGATGGCCTAAAGAAACGGCTGGGAGAAGCAGGAAACAAGTGGCTCGAAGAACTTCCCCACATCATATGGGCATTCCGAGTAACGCCCAGGAGGGCTCATGGGGAGACTCCGTTCTCCCTAACTTATGGGTGTGAAGCAAGGCTGCCCATTGAAGCTGAATTCCCAACGTTTCGGGAATCAAATTATCAGCCCCAGCAAAATGAAGAAGACCACTTGGCCGAACTCAACTTGGTCGAAGAGCGGAGAATGGCCGCGGAAGTTAAAATGAGCACATATCAACAAGTCGTGAAGAAGTACCATGACAACAAGGTTGGATCGCGATACTTTCAAGTCGGCGATGAAGTCCTGCGAAGAAGGGAGGCTAGTAGACCGGGAGACGGAGGAAAGCTGGCCAAAAACTGGGAAGGACCCTACCGGGTGAGAGTTATCATTCGCCCGGGAACCTACCGGTTAGAAACTCTTGATGGTGTACTGGTAGAAAGAACCTGGAATTCCCATCATCTTCGCAAGTTCTACAAATGATTGTAATACTAGGCAAGGCCTACTTTATTATCAATCAAACCAATGACATTCAAAACTCTACATGGTAGCAGCAGAGTTGATAGGTCGAACCTATCCTAGGAGGGCTTCCCGGGTGGATCGGATCCACTCGGATAAGCCAACTGAGACACAGGCCCGGACCTGGCACGCTGGTTACTACACCGGTCTTGCTCAGTATAATAGAAAAAATATTAAAACCCGGAAGAAGGGCCCGGAAGAGGGTATGCCTGCAAGAGGGCTGGACCTGGAAGAAGGTTCGAACCGTACTTACACGGGGCCATGAGGTTTGACCGGTATCGGAGAATCAGCCGGTACCGTCAAATTGATTGGGGACTAAAAGATGCCCATTAAAAGAAATAGAAGGGGATCGTCCATCGTGGCGCATCCTGTTTCCCCCTTCTCAGGGAAGACTTGAACGGGGGGGTGAGCTAAGGCCTTCCCGGGATGGTAGAAATCAAAGGGCCATTAAAAGACTTAATCACCCGGAAGAGGGGGCCCTGGAAGAAGGGTGCATTTGAACCTTGGAGAGGGTTCGAAACCATTCGAACATGGTTAATTCTCCAATATTCTTACCGGTTAAGGATACTTCAAGAAATTACTAGGTTACAGGTGTTCCATCTACAACATACCGGTCATTTAAAAAAAAAAAAGAATACCCCGGTTGGGTATTGATACAGAGGAACTTCGAAAGTTCCACAAGGCGAAGCAGTTCACCGGGCAGACCATGGAGAAGGGACCTACCGGTCAAACTTTGCTTCACTTTCAAAACAAGGACGAAGGTGTTCAAAAGCCAAAAAGAAGTCTAGCCGGTCAATCATTCTCCAAACTGACCACCAAGTTGGAGTTCAACCGGTCAAAGTTACTCGAGCTGGCCCTTCAGATAAAGTAATCAAATAGAACTTTGAAGTTCTACCGGTCGGAATTTCTATGATGGTATTCTAAGGAGCAATAACGAATTATCAACCAAGGAGTAAGCAGATATGGAAGATTAACCGGTACGAAAAACAAACATGACATTCAAGCAAAATAAGAATGTTAATTGTTTACAAATACACCGGGCATTCCCAGGGAAATTTCAAGTTTTCAAGTTTACAAAAGACGACCGGGCGCAGCCGGGGAGAATTCACTGCAAAGGGAAAGGGGGTTCAGGTTCTTCATCAGGGATGGGGGCCAGACCGTATGCTTCAGCAGAAAAGGTCGGGTCACGTTCAGTCAAGATTGCGTGTGTAGCCTCCCGGTCTCTTTTCTGCCCAGACATGAAGCCGTAGGAGCCTATCTGCGTGATCATCTCCTTTCCCTGCTCCTCCCGGTAGATCAACTTGAAAGCCTCCACCGTCTTCTCCTGGTCAGAGGTGATTACTCGGGCGACCTCCTCTAGGTTATCCCCCATCCATCGGCGAGCACGGCCGGGAAACTCTCGCTCCTTTGACTCCAATTCCTCCATCAGCTTCAGGTTCTCCTCCTTCAGCTGGAGAGCCTCTGCCTTGGCCCCACCGGCGATCGCTGAAAGGCCGGCCATCTCGTCTAGCTGCCGGGCCGTCAGTTCCTTAAGCTCCCGGTTATGGGCCTCAGATCGCTTCAACTTCTCTTCCAGCTGAGCCAGCCGGGAGGAGGAATCTTCGGTGAGTTGCTCCAGGGTATCGGGCCTAACTTCGCCCATCTACATATTGGAAAGTGTACCGGTTAGTACAATGATCGAGTGACAAATTCAAGAGAGCATACCGGATAAGTGTTACCTCTTTCAATTTAAGGGTCAATTTGACCCAGAGCTCTTCCAGCGACTCTTCCGCCGGGTGGTTTTCTCCCCTTCTCTTCTTGACCGATGGATGGGTGGTGGCCGCATGCTTCACTCTCTTTTTCCCTTTTCCCTTGTTGGGGGAGGGATTCGCCGGTGCCTTGCCAGTCTGGGCAGATCCCCCGGTCAAAGGGGCTTCCTCCTCGGAATGAACTTCAATTGTCTCCTTCTGGACCGGGACAGTTTTGGGGGCAGAGGAAGAAGAACCACCGGTTGTCTTCGGCATGTTGAACGCCCTGAAATTCATGTCTGCAAAACAAGCAAAAACATAAATGTTCGAACTTCGACCGGTAGAACTAAAGCAAGAAGAAAGAGGAAGGAAAGATACCTGGGTGGCTGGGGCCCCCGGCCTCTGCAGTGTTGCCCGGGGCGGGTACCCCGTGCCCCGCTGCTTCATGAGCCATAGGGGTACCCTGGCCACCCGGTTGGATCCGCCAGACCCAAGCCCCGTAATGAAACATTTGCCCGGTGAACGGGTCCCCTCGGAGAAGCTTCTCTAAACTCTCTTCCAAGTCTAGGGCGGTGGCCGGCTCGGTAAATTGCGGCTTCAGAATATGGTCATTCCATGGTATGCTGGCCAAAGGAGAAACCATAGGAAATTTTATGAAAACGAATTTTTCCTTCCACTGCCGGTTGCTTTGTGGAAGGTCAGAAATGAATTGGCGACCGTTACGGCCTTTGAAATAGACATAGCCGTCGCAACCCGACTTACCGGGAAGAACTTCAAACAAGTAGAGAAAAAGGCGAAGAGATGGGTCGATTTTAAAATGAGTGCAGATATTTGCAAATGCATTGAGGAAACGGTGGGCGTTGGGCGTAATTTGCCCGGGAAGAATCTTAAAGCAGTGGCATAACTCAACCAGAAGGGGACGGAGGGGGAAGACAGTGCCACTTTCCAGAGAAATGATGTGGAAACCTACCCTATCATCCCGGTGGGGCTCAATAATGTTGGGCCAATTGGGGTCATACTCAAGAACATACCCATCCGGAAGATTCCTACGGGCTTTATTTTGAGCAATCTTAGAGACCCGGGGATAGATGTCTAGCGGGTAGCTGGAAGGGAGAGGAAAGTAACCGGCTGCATCCAGCCGGTCCACCCATGCCTCATATGACTCGTTGTCAGGGTCATAGGGGG